AGACAGGAATAAAGACACAGACCTACTAGAGAATGGACTTGAGGATATGGGGAGGGGGAAGGGTAAGCTGGGACAAAGTGAGAGAGTGGCATGGACATATATACACTACCAAATGTAAAATAGATAGCTAGTGGGAAGCAGCCGCATAGCACAGGCAGATCAGCTGGGTGCTTTGTGACCACCTAGAGGGGTGGGATAGGGAGAGTGGGAGGGAGACACAAGAGGAAGGAGATATGCGGATATATGTATACGTATAGCTGATTCACTTTGTTATAAAGCAGAAACTAACACACCATTGTAAAGCAATTATACTCCAATAAAGATGTTAAAAAATAAATTAATTAAATTAAAATAAAATTTAAAAAAAAGTATTTTACGCTTTAACTCCTCAACTTTTTTGAAAAACAGGTAGCAAATAATATTTACACAAAAACAGTTATATAGATCAATGGAACAGGATAGAAAGCCCAGAGATAAACCCATGCACATATGGTCACCTTATCTTTGATAAAGAAGGCAAGAATATACAGTGGAGAAAAGAAAGCCTCTTCAATAAGTGATGCTGGGAAAACTGGACAGCTACATGTATAAGTATAAAACTAGAACACTCCCTAACACCATACACAAAAATAAACTCAAACTGGATTTAAGATCTAAATGTAAGGCCAGACACTATCAAACTCTTAGAGGAAAACATAGTCAGAATACTCTATGACATAAATCACAGCAAGATCTTTTTTGACCCACCTCCTAGAGAAATGGAAATCAAAACAAAAATAAACAAATGGGACCTAATGAAACTTAAAAGCTTTTGCACAGCAAAGGAAACCATAAACAAGACCAAAAGACAACCCTCAGAATGGGAGAAAAATATTTGCAAATGAAGCAACTGACAGAGGATTAATCTCCAAAATTTACACGCAGTTCATGCAGCTCAATAACAAAAAAACAAACAACCCAATCCAAAAATGGGCAGAAGACCTAAATAGACATTTCTCCAAAGATATACAGATTGCCAACAAACACATGAAAGAATGCTCAACATCATTAATCATTAGAGAAATGCAAATCAAAACCACAATGAGATATCATCTCACACTGGTCAGAATGGCCATCATCAAAAAATCTACAAACAATAAATGCTGGAGAGGGTGTGGAGAAAAGGGAACCCCCTTGCACGTTTTTTGGGAATGTAAATTCATAAAATACTTTTAAAGGAAGTTTTATTACTTTTACCAACCACCAGGCATGCTTTACTCATTTGCAATTAGTATACTATATAAAAATGTAATTGCAAAAGCTGATTAGAAGTGTTTGAAAACTTGTTTAAAAAAAAAAGGGAGGAATAAGAAAAAGAAATAAGAGGCATCCAAGTTAGAAAGAAAAAAGTAAAATTATCTCTGTTCATAGATGATATGATCTTATATGTAGAAAACGCTAAAGATTCTACCAAAAAAAAAAAACCTGTTCAGACTAATAAATGAATTCAGAAAAGTAGTAGGATACAAATTAACATGCAAAAATCAGCTGCATTTCTAAACACTTACAATGAAAAATCCACAAAGGAAATTAAGAAAACATTTCATTTACAATAGAATCAAAATGAATAAAATACTTAGGAATTAACTTAACCAAGGAGGTGAAAGACTTATATAATTAAAAACTATAAAACATTATTGGAAGAAATCATTAAGAAGACAAATAAAGGAAAACACATTGCATGTTCATGGACTGAAAGACAATATTGTTAAGATGTCAATACTACCCAAAGTGACCTATAGATTCAGAACAATCCTTACCAAAATCTCAATGGCACTTTTTACAGATATAGAAAAATCTGTCCTAAAATTCATATAGAATCTCAAGAGACCTCCTAAAATAGTCAAAACAATGTTGAAAAAGAACAAAGTTGGAGAACTCACACTTCCCGATTACTAAACATATTCCAAAGCTGTAGTAATCAAACCAGGATAGTACTACAGGGAACTCTCCTCAATGTTATGTGGCAACCTGGATGGGAGGGGAGTTTGGGGGAGAATGGATACATGTATATGTATGGCTGAGTCGCTTTGCTGGGCACCTGCAACTATCACAACATAATTGGCTATATTCCAATATAAAATAAAAAGTTAAAAACAAACCCAAAAAAATCCCAGTGAGGTACCAGCATAAATACAGACATATAGGTCAGTGAAAATAACAGAGAACCCAGAAATAAACCCTTGAGTATACAGTCAAATGAATTTTGACAAGGGTGATAAGCGGGGAAAAGACAAGTCCTTTTAATAAATGGTGCTATGGGACTTCCCTGGTGGTCCAGTGGTAAAGAATCTGCCTTCCATTGCAGGGGATATGGGTTCAATCCCTGGTCAGGGAACTAAGATCCCACATGCTGCAGGGCAACTAAGCCTGCATGCCCCAACTACTGAGCTTGAGCGCCTCAACAAGAGAGCCCGAGTGCCGCAAACTACAGAGCCCACACGCTCTGCAGCCTGTGCACCACAACTACAGAGAGAAAATCCCCATGCCACAACTAGAGAGAAGCCTGCGCACCGCAACAAAGACCTGACATAGCCAAAAAAATAAAATAAATATTAAAAAAAAATAAATGGTGCTAGGAAAACAGGATATACATGCAAGTAATGAAGTTGGACCCTTATCTAACACCATATATATAAATTAACTCAAAATGGTTCAAAGCTCTAAATGTAAGGGATAAAAGTATAAAACTCTCAAGAGAAAATATAGGGCAAAAGCTTCATGAAAGTGCATCTGGCAATGACCTTTTGGATAGGACACCAAAGGCACAAGGCCACAAAGGAACAACAGAAAAACTGGACTTCATGAAATTAAAAATTTTTTGCATACAAAGACACTATCAACAGAGTAAAAAGATATCCCATAGAATGAGAGAAAATATTTGTAAATCATGTATCTGATGAGGGAGCAATATTATGAACAGAGACTAACTAAAACTTAACAACACCAAAGAAACAACCCAATTGAAAAATGGGCACAGGACTTAAGTACATACTTCTCCAAAAAAGATATGCAAATAGCCAATAAGGACATGAAAAGGTGCTCAACATCACTAATCACCAGGAAAAATGCAAATCAGAACTACAAAGAGGGAATTCCCTGGCAGTCCAGTGGTTAGGACTCAGTGCTTTCACCACTGGGGCCGGGTTCAATCCCTCAATCCCTGTTTGGGAACTAAGATCCAGAAAGCCACGTGGAGCAGCAAAAAACCAAAGAAACAGAACAAACCCACACTACAATGAGATATCACATTATACCTATTAGAATGACTACTATGAAAAAAAAGAAAATAACAAATATTGGCAAGTATGTGGAGAAACTGGAACCCTTGTACACTGTTGGTGGGAATGTAAAACGATAAAGTTTCTGTGATGGCCATTCCTCAAAAAATTAAACACAAAATTATCATATGATCCAGCAATTTCACTTCTGGATATATACCCAAAAGAACTGAAAGCAGGATCTCTAAGAGATGTTTGTACATGAAAGTTCACAGCAACATTATTCACAACAGCTAAAATGTGGAAGCTGAGCAAAATGTGGTTATATACAATTCAGCTTTAAAAAGGAAGAAAGTTGGGCTTCCCTGGTGGCGCAGTGGTTGAGAGTCCGCCTGCCGATGCAGGGGACGCGGGTTCGTGCCCCGGTCTGGGAAGATCCCACATGCCGCGGAGCGACTAGGCCTGTGAGCCATGGCCGCTGAGCCTGCGCGTCCGGAGCCTGTGCTCCGCAACGGGAGAGGCCACAATGGTGAGAGGCCCGTGTACCGCACCAAAAAAAAAAAAAAGGTCACAATGGAAATTTTACATTACGTGTATTTTACCACATTAAAAAAAACTGGAAAAAAATGAGAAGGAAGAAAATTTAAGCATTTAACCTGCCTGTCTCAACTGTACTTCGGGTGACTAAAAAGATAATAATAGATGTTCCTTTTGTTTGTCTGTTTTAAATAGAAAATTCCAGCTGATAATATATGTTGAGGAGTGATAGATTTAGGGTGCTATGATTTTGTAAATCCTTTTGAAATAGTGGACTTGACAATGATCATCAACAGCTGCTTAAATCTAATCACTGGCTTAGAGGAAATACAGGGGACAGAGTCACATATTAACATCACGGGGACACTATCAGCAAAATCCACACTTTGAGAAATTCTTTAAGACAGGTGTTTTTTCTTCGTATGTATGTACATCATTTAGCTCCTAATTTGATAGAAACATTTAGGAGAGAATTGGGGCATTTTGAATAGTGAGTAAGTATTTGCTATTAAGAGAATATTGTTAAATTTTTTAATGTTTGGAAATGATCGTGAGGTTGTTAAAAATAAAAAAGTCTATCATTTAGAGATACAGATTGAAATATTTATAAATGAAATGATATAATGCTTGGGAATTCCTATAAAATTATCGGGGTGGGAGGAGGGCTCATGGGTGGTTATACAGATGAAACAAGATTCAATATACTGATTGACTCTTGAATATACTGATTGATATATATATATTGATTGAATCAATATATATTGATTCAATCAATATACTGATTGAATCAATATACCATATACTGATTATTGTTGAAGCTGGGTAATGATTAAATGTGCGTATATCATACTATTCTGCCTACTTTTCTATATTTAAAATTTTCCATAATAAAACTTTTTTGAAGTCTTTGAAATTCTTTAACACATAAGGTAAATATTTTTCTTACAATTAAATTTACAGCATTTATTAGTCAATAATCCAAATTTTGATGTGGTTAACAAACAACAAAAAACAATAACTAAAGACTTATTTATTGCATCCAGTACTTTTTACATTTTTCCGATATCACTAACTTCCTTATAACCTTTTAACATTTTGGTCTTAATGTTCAATTCAATAACAAATGACTACTAGGAAAACAGTAAAAATCTCATCATTCTTTGGCAGCCTAAAAGAAATACTTTACATTTATGTGCAACTCACCTGCTGTAAAATCTTCAGTTAGATCAATGAACGCATGAGAATGTGGAATCCGCATTTTACTTTTAATGGTCAATGCAGGATGCCATGATAAATTCCTAAAAGAAAAATTTTTTTCTTAAGGCAAACATCAAATGAGCACTGTTTTAAAACAAAAATATCTGCATGCAAGATATTTTAAAAACGCACTTATTCTTAGCTCTGTCACATACTCTAAAATTCACTTTCAGAGTGTACAATTTAGTGGTTTTTGTATATTCACAGTGTGCAGCCATCACCACTATCTAATTTCACATTTTCATCACCTCAAAATGAAACTCTGTATTCATTAGTAACTTCTCATTCTCCCCACCATCAAGCCTCTGGCAAACACTAATTTGCTTTCTGGCTCTATGGATTTCCCTATTTTGGACGTTTCATATATATGGAATCATATAACATGTGGCCTTTTGTGCCTGGTTTCTTTCACTTGGAATAATATTTTCAGGTTCATCCATGCTGTAGCATGTGTCACTACTTCAGTCTTTTTTATCCCTGAATAATATTTAATTACATGGCTATATTTTTTGTAAATCTTTTTCAACTGTTGATGGACATTTGACTTGTTTCCACTTTTGGCTATTACAATTAAATGCTGTTATGAATAATCATGTACAAGTTTTTATGTGGACATATACATATGTTTTTTCTTTTGTTTTGTTTTATTTGCGGTACGCGGGCCTCTCACTGTTGTGGCCTCTCCCGTTGCGGAGCACAGGCTCCTGATGCGCAGGCTCAGCAGCCATGGCTCACAGGGCCAGTCGCTTCGCGGCATGTGGGATCTTCCCAGACTGGGGCACAAACCCGTGTCCCCTGCATCGGCAGGCGGACTCTCAACCACTGCGCCACCAGGGAAGCCCCTACATATGTTTTTGATTCTTCTGGGTATATACCTAGGAGTAGAATTGCTGGGTCACATGGTAACTCTATACTTGACTTTCTAAAGAACTGTCAAACTGTTTTCCAAAGTGGTTTCATCATCAGACATTCTCACTAGCAATGTATGGGTATTTCAATACTTTAATTCCATTATGAACACTTACTACTGTCCCTTTGTTTTATTATAGCTACTTACTGAAGGGTTCTTGTGGTTTTGATTTATATTTTCCTGATGTCTAATGATGTTGAGCATGTTTTCATGTGCTTGTTGGCTACCTGTATATCTTTAGAGAAATGTCTACTCAAATTCTTTGCCTATTTTTCTTTTTTTTTTTTTTTGCAGTACGCGGGCCTCTCACTGTTGTGGTCTCTCCTGTTGCAGAGCACAGGCTCCGGACGTGCAGGCTCAGCGGCCATGGCTCATGGGCCCAGCTGCTCCGCGGCATGTGGGATCTTCCCGGACCGGGGCACAAACCCGCGTCCCCAGCATCGGAAGGCGGACTCTCAACCACTGTGCCACCAGGGAAGCCCCCTTTGCCTACTTTTAAATTGGGTTATTTATTGCTTTGAGTAATAAGAGTTCTTTATATAGACTAGATCCTAGATCTTTAACTGATGCACTATTTGCAATATTTTCTCCCATTCTGTACAGTCTTTTCAGTTTCTGGATAGTGTCCTGTGCTATGTAGAAGCTTTTAATTTGACAAATCCAGTTCTAATTTTTTTGTGTTGCTTTTTTCTTTTGGTGTCAGAGCTAAGAACCCATTTCCAAATCCAAAGTTATGAAAATTTACCCCATGCTTTCTTCTAAGACTTTTATGTTTTAGCTCTTATATTTATATCTTTAATTCTTTAAGTGTAGGAAAAATAACTTAATATTATCATGGGTGATATTTTCCCGACACTGTGGAGAATGATTATCTTTTATAAATATTAATTCCAAAGTTTTCAGCCATGAAAAAGAATGAATTTATACCCCTATCTCATACCATATACCAAAAATTAACTCAGATGTCTCAAACTGCTAAAAGAAATAGAACTCTTGTATACTGCTGATGGGAATATAAAATGGTGCATTAGCTATGGAAAACAGTTTGGAAATTCTTCCAAAAGCCAAACAATGAATTGCCATATGACTCTGCATTTCTATACCTAGATGTATACCAGTAAGAATTGAAAAACACACTATTTGCAGATGACATGATACTATACATAGAGAATCCTAAAAACTCTACCAGAAACCTACTAGAGTTAATCAACGAATTTGGTAAAGTAGCAGGATACAAAATTAATGCACAGAAGTCTCTTGCATTGATATACACTAATGATGAAAAACCTGAAAGAGAAATTAAGGAAACACTCCCATTTACCATTACAACAAAAAGAATAAAATATCTAGAAATAAACCTACCTAAGGAGACAAAAGACCTGTATGCAGAAAACTATGACACTGATGAAAGAAATTAAAGATGATACAAACAGGTGGAGATATATACCATGTTCTTGGATTGGAAGAATCAACATTGTGAAAATGACTATACTACCCAAAGCAATCTACAGATTCAATGCAATCCCTATCAAACTACCAATGGCATTTTTCACAGAACTCGAACAAAAAATTTCACAGGAGATAAACCCACACACATATGGTCACCTTATCTTTGATAAGGGAGGCAAGAATATACAATGGAGAAAAGACACCCTCTTCAGTAAGTGGTGCTGGGAAAACTGGACAGCTACATGTAAAAGAATGACATTAGAACGTTCCCTAACACCATACACAAAAATAGACTCAAAATGGATTAGAGAACTAAATGTAAGACCGGACACTATAAAACTCTTGGAAAGGGGCTTCCCTGGTGGCGCAGTGGTTGACAGTCTGCCTGCCGATGCAGGGGACACGGGTTCGTGCCCCAGGCCGGCAAGATCCCAGGCTGGGAAGATCCCACAGAGCAGCTGGGCCCGTGAGCCGTGGCCGCTGAGCCTGTGCGTCCCGAGCCTGTGCTCCGCAATGGGAGAGGCCCGTGTACCGCAAAAACAAACAAACAAACAAAAAACTCTTGGAGGAAAACATAGGAAGAACACTCTTTGATATAAATCATAGCAAGATCTTTTTTGACCCACCTCTTAGAGTAATGGAAACAAAAATAAACAAATGGGACCTAATGAAACATAAGCTTTTGCACAGCAAAGGAAACTATAAACAAGACAAAAAGCCAACCCTCAGAATGGGAGAAAATATTTGCAAATGAAGCAAATGACAAAGGATTAATCTCCAAAATATACAAGCAGCTCATGCATCTCAATATCAAAAAGACAAACAACCCAATCCAAAAATGGTCAGGAGACCTAAATAGACATTTCTCCAAAGAAGATATACAGATTACCAACAAACACATGAAAGGATGCTCAACATCACTAATCATTAGAGAAATGGAAATCAAAACTACAATGCAGTATCACCTCACACCAGTCCGAATAGCCATCATCAAAAAATCTACAAACAATAAATGCTGGAGAGGGTGTGGAGAAAAGGGAACCCTCTTGCACTGTTGGTGGGAATGTAAATTGATACAGCCACTATGGAGAACAGTTCGGAGGCTCCTTATAAAACTAAAAATAGAGGTACCAGATGACTCAGCAATCCCACTACTGGGCATATACCCTGAGAAAAACATAATTCAAAAAGACAGGTACCACAACGTTCACTGCTGCACTATTTACAATAGCCAGGACATGGAAGCAACCTAAGTGTCCTCTGACAGATGAATGGATAAAGAAGATGTGGAACATATATGCAATGGAATATTACTCAGCCATAAAAAGAAAAGAAATTGAGTTGTTTGTAGTGAGGTGGATGGACCTAGAGTCTGTCATACAGAGTGAAGTAAGTCAGAAAGGGAAAAACAAATACCATATGCCAACGCATATATAGGAAATCTTAAAAAAAAAAAAAAAAAAAAGGTTCTAATGAATCCAGGGGCAGGACAGGAATAAAGACACAGATGTAGAGAATGGACTTGAGGACATGGGGAGGGGGAAGGGTAAGCTGGGACAAAATGAGACAGTAGCATTGACATATATATACACTACCAAATGTAAAATAGATAGCTAGGGGGAAGCAACTGCACTGCATGGGGAGATCAGCTGGGTGCTTTGTGACTACCAGAGGGGTAGGATAGGGAGGGTGGGAGGGAGACGCAAAAGGGAGGGCATATGGGGATATATGTATATGTATAGCTGATGCACTTTGTTATACAGCAGAAACTAATACAACATTGTAAAGCAATTATACTCCAACAAAGATGTTAAAAAAAAAAGAATTGAAAACAGGTATTCAAACAAATACTGGTACATGAATGCTCTTAGCAGCAGTATTCACAATAACCCAAATATCTACCAATGGATGAATGAATAAACAAAATGTCATATACCCATACAATGAAAATATTATTCAGTCATAAAATAACTGGAGTACCGATACATGATACAATATGGATGAATCTTTAAAATATTATTCTATGTGAAAGAAGCCAGACTCAAAAAGTCACATCTTGTATGATTTCATTTATATGAAATACCCATAATAGGAAAATCCTAGAGACAGAAAGAAGATTAGTGGCTACCAAGTGCAGGGGTAGAGGGGAAAGGGAGAGTGACTGCTTAATGGGTACAGGGTTTCCTTTCAGAGAGATGAAAAGTCACTGGAACTAGGTGATGGTTGCACAATGTTGTAAATGTTCTAAATCTCACTAAAGTGTACACAATGATGGTTAATTTTAATAATGTTATGCAAATTTTATCTCACTAAAAAAACCAACAGTACTAAGTTTTCACACATCCTTCATTTAGTTACTCCTAATGTTAACATCTAATATAACCATAGTGCATTTGTCAAAATCAGGAAGGTCATACTGGTAAACTATTAGGAACTACAGAAAGAAGAGCAAGTTTAAATAAAATCATCTCCCCACAATTCCTCACTAGTGAAGAACACTCCAGTGTCAAAGGCATTCCTATTTATCAAGGCCCTACTTAAATCAGCTTCCTCCAAAAGGCCTTTACTCCTCTCTCACTGTTTCACCATTATACTTTTCTCTAGTAATAGCACTTTAGTTTGCATTATAGTTACTTGAGGAACTGTTTCTCTGAGAGTGTATCCTAGGTACCCTGACTCATA